TACTAATGTAGAAATGGGCATCTAAAGCTCTCAATTAATTACTTTGGAGGTGTTTTTCTAAGAGCTCGAAATAAGCTGATATGCGATAAGCAACAAGCTTAAAATGTGAGAAAGGAGGAGGTTTTACAAAAACTAGCAGACGCGGCAAACTTCGACTCCACCCTAAATTATTATTTTAAAAGATCTAAAAGGTGCTCTTTCTGTGATCAGGAGCTTCAGTTTTTCTTAATTCAGAGTTGGGAGGAAATGTCATACTAATATCAACATGAAGCTTTAGTGCTATAATTTATTAGCTATATTTATAGTTCTGAAGAGGATTGATTGATAGTTCAGTTATACCACGGTGGTGTGATTGTTGAACAGAAATTGTAACAAAGCGAAGGACCAATAATGCAGCAGTACTAATCAAATGCACAATCCTTTGCTTATCTCACTTGGTGGGTGAGGCAAAAGAGTGCACATTTAACTTGCTCATATACTGTCTTTTTTATACAGGGGGGAATCTTCACTAAGCCCCAACCTGTGCGCTTGGCTCTTGACCTCCCCGGAGCCGCCCGAAGGCATTACTTCGTGGGAGGGGCCTGTGCACTATAGCGCTCCTCTAGCCATACTCTAACGCTCTAGTCGGGCAGTAGGCAACTGTTGCTCGGCACGCCACACTCGTTGAAGCTTCGAAACTATGTGGGTGACCGCAGTCACCACCGCGCTCCAGATCTCGGTGGTACCACACATCCTAGGGACGATGTTATCCGGACTGGTATCCACTCCGCATATCGCTATCATAACGCTCGTTATTGGCTCAAAGCGTGGACAGGCGAACACAACATGTTCCGCCATCTCTTCGACACCAGCGCACGCGGGGCAGGTGGGAGTACTTGCATGTCCGAACCTATGAAAGTAACTCCTAAAGCGACCATGGCCTGATAGGAACTGGTGGAAGTTTACTTCCCCATGGCGCCTGTTGACCCAGCTTGATACGGAAGGCATTAAGCGGTAGGTCCATCTTGCCTTTGTGGAGTTTTCCCACTCCGACTGCCACCTCGCAATCGATACCGCGCGCGCGTTGTTGGTCCTCGTGTCATAGCACTCCACATCCTCCTTGATGATGAGGTCGATTGGCATCATTCCTGCTATGACACAGACGGCCTCCCTCGAGATGGTGCGGTATGCACTGGTCACCCTAGCCAGCACATTAGCCTGTGTGTATACTCTAATTCCGCCTGTGACAGTCAGTATCCAGAACCGCAGCCCTCGCAGGGCCCCCGTATCTGAGGATCGATACTACGACTTCAGTGAGGAGCATGCGCTTACTGGCACTCACCGCCGAGCTGTTTGACATCATGCGGGATTAAATATGCCCCCACAGCCGTAGACGCTCTCTTTCAGGCGTACTCGACGTGGCAGCCGAATCTGAGCTTATCATCGCGCATCCCCAAGAGTTTCACAGAGCGCACAGATCTAATTGTGCTCTCGCCCACTGTCAACGTCGCATGATGTACAGTAGACTGATGCAAAATTTGACTTTTTCGCTCCACAGTGCTTAAATGGTGCCATTTGAAGTTTACATGTAAATTACTATGGGAAATCTCAACTTTTTTTTTAATTGCCTTTTATTCTTTTTCCATATTGAGCTGCGAAACAATTCGATAACTATTCTTATAGAAAATTTTCTCAGCTACAACTTTGCTGAAGATTGTTTCTATGTAAAACGAGACAAGAAAAAGTTATGAATTATTTAAGAGATTGGTAAACTTATGACATGATTAAGCAGCTGCTCTGTAGGCAACACTGTATTTTGCAGTGAGACATAGTAGCCGTGATTTTTGTGTCCTATTCAACGCCCCAGAAACACCAATGTTGCCTGCTGAGCAGTTGATTGTGCATGATCATAAGACATCAGCGCATTGAACCATTGATAACTTTCGATCCTTGCATTTAATCAAAAAGTGGTCTTCAGCAAAGTTGTAGACATGAACAAAAATCTTGGTTTTACCATAGTAATTCCCATACAAACTTCGAATGGTTTGTGCCATCTCAGTTTCTCACCAAATGGGTTCAAATTTTGAGAGGTTAGTCAGGATCCGATTTGGAATCGTTTAAGTATTGTGGAGCGAAAATTTCAAATTTTGCATCACTCTAGTACAGACATGCGATTGTTGACTACGACCATCTTTGTCTTGTGATGGGCGAGCTCCAGTTTCCTGGATCTCATCCATTCCTCCACAAGCTTAACGGAGTGAGCCGCTGTCAGCTCTACCTCTGCGAGGGATTCACCGTACACTACCAGCGTGACATCGTCGGCAAAACCAACGATTTTCACGCCTACTGGGAGTCTTATCCTCAACACCCCATCTTACATGACGTTCCATAACACCGGGCCCAGGATGGAGCCTTGTGGCACTCCTGCAGTGACTCTAACGCATTTTTCGCCATCTTCTGTGTCGTACTTCAACACACGATTCTGGGAGTAGCTTTCCAGAATCTTGGTCAACCCTCCGGGGATTCGGAGTTGGTGTAGCTAGCGGGCTATCGCCCCCAAGCACGCGCTGTTGAACGCATTATTCACGTCTAGAGTTTTCCGATGGACCACCTCTGCCGTCTGGATGACCTCATGGATGGCTTCCACCGTGGATTTGCCTTTTCGGAACCCGTACTGGCTGCTTGACAGGCAGTCTGTTGAGGATGACTTTCTCAAGCAGTTTACCAGTGGAATATACTATCTGCGACTGTAGAATAGCTTTAGTGACATTTATCACTACCTAACGTCCCACGTTGCCTAAAGCACTGCCAGACGATGGTGTGTTATACATACTGTAAGTCTTCTTTACCCAACTATTGTTCTCTCGTCATGACCAACGTAGTCATCTCAGAGAGAAGCAGTAGATTAGTGTTTTTTGGTACAGCACGCACCCAACCCCATCCCACTTAATACCCATCATTATCATACTTATTCGCGCTCTGATTTTGCCTAATTTTAAAGAGCAAATTTGAATAAAAATAGGGTGCTAAATGAAACGTAGACTGCAAGTCCGTTTCACACTCACTCACTCGAACATAAAATCGCTCAATGTGACTCTCTGAAAGTGGAATTGACAGAAAGAAAGGTTGAAGATGCTGAATATGAAAATTTTCCAAAATGAACGGTTATGAACGGGTGGCAACTAACGATTTAAAATTGGCTCACTACTTGACTAGCCTGTTGGTCCCAAGCAAATCGATTAACGTACCCCATTCTAGTTGAAATTCTAGTACTACACAATGTTTGTTTTGATTCGCTATGAAAGTTTGACAGATAAAATGAGGGGTTCGTGGATTTTCCTATGTTTCGAGGGGTGCATCGATTAGCTTGGGACCGAAGATAGTACCAGAGACGCATAGATTGAAGCAAGAAGAACCAAACAAACCGTCAAACGCTGAACCAAACGAGCAATGTAAATAAACATTACTGTTCGCTCAATTAACCAGAAAGCAGTATTGTTCTCAATAAAGAAACAAGTGTTTAATTATTTTCGCGGAATATTCGATATTTATTATTTATTTATTTATTTATTTATTTATTGTTGATTCAATTAAATACAACAATTATTAGTGATAAAAAAACAATTTCGAATGGGAATGTTTTGTTTTTGCATAAATAAAAATGATTGCGCTGCAAGCGAAACAGTAAAATATGACAAAAATTATACTGTCATAGAGCGACTGTCATCTCTTGTCTTCGCTTAATTTTTGCAAAATGTTGCCACGCACTTTATTTTTATTCAGTTCCTATCGAACTTCTTGCTATGTTACTTTAACAGACCTTGCTACTAGCCGAAAAAAGCTTCAAGTTAAGTAGACGATCAAAAAATATGTGACTGGAGGTGTGTATCCGTTTTATTATATGAACAGCCCTTTGGAGATAATGATCAAATTTACGTGCTATTTTAGGCATGGTAGATATTGATAATCAACTTTAAAAAGTGTCCCGATTTGCAGACTAAGTGTCCGCAGTTCGATGAGTTGCGGCACACAATGAAGTCACTCTTGTTTCATAATCGGCATGAAGAGAGCCCATGGTGAGTACCTGACATTCTATCGATATTTACGAAGTGTATATGAACTTGTTTACCTTATATTTTAAAAGTGGTTTCAGTTCTCCAACAATGTTTAACATGTACAGTTCCAATTTGTGACTTTCCGTCCTAGGTTCTCTCCAGGCATTCTCACCCATCAGTTCAGCTTAGTCACCCACTCGATCGACCCTCTCGAAGTCTACATTCGGTTAAAAATCCGTCAATGAGCCCAGTTCCCACCAACCTGTTTGGCCACTCCAGGTCGTCGATGCAAATATTTACTCAACGGATTGGAGGATTTGTTTGCCGATCGGACCCATCCAGTGCAAGCAGGTAAGTGTATGGGCTGAGTATGGTGACCCTCCTGATGGCTCCGCGCCTAACCCACGCATGCCACTCGTCATCGATTGACGGGTAGTATCAGCAGCACTCAGGTGGGTTACAGTACCTCACTCGGCAAAAGAAGCAAAATTGAGCCCATTCAATATACCCCATACCAGCCAATCCACCACGGCAAGAAGTGCCTTTGTATGACGACGGCCGCGGGCAATTTTGACACCAACGCATTTTCCAGTTCCAGTTGCGTTGCGATCCACTCACAAGCCGTCGCGCAACTCCCCGTGCCTCGCAACTCCTAATGTTGATATTGGTTCAAAAGAGATCTCGCTCAGACCAGACCGAACCGTAACTAAGGGTGACTTTGATCGCTTCAATTGGCAGCTTGGTTCTAATAGGGAATTTGCACCAATTACCATCCACCAACAGGTCTCATGCAAACCTGTGAGGTTCGATTTGAACAAACCGTTTGTTCATAGTCACATACAACGACCGCGCTAGCACCGATCATATACAACAGCAAAGTCAACCGCAGTAGAGCGGACGCAGATTCCTTGTGAGACTCGCGGCCGCAGCTCGGGAAGCTTTTAGTAATATCTTTATTTGTTTTGAAACGCTTCTCAAGACAAGTCGCAGATTTCTGTTTCGCGCGCGCATACGAGTTCACACGTGCGCTCCTTGCGGCTAAAAACTTTTTCGGCTACCTAGTGAAAGATATTGCATTATCGAAAGACTTGAGTAGTAAATGCAATAGTAAATGTTTACAACAACTGATCAACAACAAACACTATAACGACTATCGGAAATAACCGCCGATTGGCAGTGTAATTGCACCAGATGATTTGAACCGTCGGGAATAATTTAAATTAATTATCATCAATTACGGTGAACAGAGAGTGAGTGTTTCTTCGCGATTGTCCGTATTGTGTACAAACAACACCGGGTCGCAGTTAGTCAGTGTCTGGTGGAGCATAAAAGAAACGAAAAGCTGTGAATGAATTTGGTATATGAATGAAACTCGCGCGTCGTGTCGTCGATGCAAACTTTATGAATGGGCCACGACGGAAGGGAGACACAGGTCGGCATTCCGTTTGCACGAAAGAGTGATGGATTATAATTGCAAAAGTTTTCGTCATGATATGCTAGTGCCGTTAACGTGCCCTGTTGTGTGTGAAGTGATTCATTCTACTGTAAACTATACAAACCTGGTGGAAAAAAATAATACTATGAATCAATAGTGCATTTTTGTGACGATGATACATATGATCTAGTTCTGTGTAAACAATCTGCCAAGCTTTATGCTTACGACTATCGCGTAACTTGTTGCATTGCCTGACGGTTGTATCGGTTTCCATTGCTGGATAAATATGGATAGTGAAAAGGTGAGTCACATTTCTACGTATCCGGTTCAATTGTTACGATGACAGGGTGATTCAATGTGCCAGTAGTTAACATTTATACTTGTTGAGCTTTATGAAGATGTAGGGTAAGCGTGCCAGTCATGGCACTAGGGCTCCAGTTTTTGTCCCAAGGACCTACTCAAATTTAAGATACATTTCCATGGTTTTTATTTGCGTAGGTAGGGGAAATGGCTCTAATGTTGGCCGATGCATCTAATATTGGGTCTATCGCTAAAAATATGCTATTTATCAATTTTGTCTAGATTAACGCGTCATTGGGACGGTACTAATGAATATTTTTGGTCGTTATTGAAAATTTAGTCGATTGCTGAATTTATGTATGGGCCCATATTAAGAGCATATAGGCTGACATTGCATCCATTTCCCCTATATGGAAAAATACATGTATATGTTTTAACCTTACATCGAAATAAATTTGGTCGAAAATGACAAAAAATTAGATTTAATATGGAGTTAATTAGAGGACCGCTAGGGCTAAAAACTGCCACACTTTTTATTGATTTTTTTTTCAACGAAAATCCTTGAGTAACTCAATAAAATATATTATTTCGAACATAATACATAATACTCAGAACTTATAATGTTATACCCGGCAACTTATTTTTATCGCATAACCAGGGTAGATCACCTCTAAGTGAAGGATAACAATATTAAATCGTATGCAGAGAGTCAGACCCCAGGTTTGTAATCTATAATGATGAGTGCTGTACTTAATCTAATATTAACTTTAAAAACCGATGATCGCCACAAATGCTGACCAACTACATGTTCCAACAGGACAGCAGTGAGTAACCGAGCTCACCACATTGTGGAAATCATATTACAGTGTCTCAAGAGGCCGACGGGTCAAAGAGTATCAATTGAGGATTGCAACGATTTTTTCCTGAAATTATTAATTATTTTGTTGGACATTTGTTCTAAAGTCTCAACATTTGAAATTCTGTGTACCTCGGTAGTACTGAACCAGGAAGGCAACTTCAAAATCATCTTCAGAACTTTGTTCTGAATCCTTTGAAGTGCTTTTTTTTTCCTGGTAGTGCAACAACTAGACCATATTGGCACAGCGTAAAGCATGGCCGGTCTAAAAACTTGTTTAAATATTAGAAGTTTGGGTTTCCTGTTTATACGAGGATACAAACATTTTATATATTTGTTACATTTGGCTTGAATGCCCTCAATGTGATCTTTAAAATTTAATTTTTGGTCAAGTACTAATCCAAGATAATTCACTTGGTTTGACCAGGAAATTGGAACTCCGTTCATAGTGACTATGTGACTACTATTAGGTTTCAAAACGGAAGCTCTAGGCTTATGTGGAAATATTATAAGTTGAGTTTTGGAAGCGTTGGGAGAAATCTTCCATTTTTGTAAATATAAGAGACAATATCTAAACTTTTCTGCAGTCTGCTGCAAATAACACGAAGACTTCTTCTTTTAGCGGAAATGCCTGTGTCATCAGCGAACAAAGATTTGTGACAACCCTGAGGGTAAATCAGGGGTATCCGAAGTGAAAATGTTATACAACATAGGCCCAAGAATACTACCCTGAGGAACTCCTGCTCTAACATGTAGTCGATTAGATTTGGAATTTTGATAATTTACCTGCAGAGTTCTGTTAGTTAAATAATTTTGCACTAATTTCATAATATAGAGTGGAAAATTAAACTTTTTCGATTTAGCAATCAAACCTGCATGCCAAACACTGTTGAATGCTTTTTCTATGTCTAGAAGAGCAACTCCAGTTGAGCAGCCCTCAGATTTATTTGAACGATTAAAATCTTATGAGTTGATAAGTAGTTGAATGCCCATGGCGAAATCCAAACTGCTCATCTGCACAAATTGAGTTCATTTTGATGTGAAGCACCAATCCATTCAAAATTATCTTTTCAAAAAGTTTACTTATTGAAGAAAGCCAACTTATTGGACGGTAGCTAGAAGCTTCAGTTGGACTTTTATCCGGCTTCAAGATTGGAACTTTTGCATTTTTTCATTTATCAGGAAAGTATGCCAAATTGAAACATCCGTTAAATAATTTTGACCAAGAAAGACAAGGTACACTCTGGGAGTTTTTTGATGAGCATGTAGAAAATTGCTTCATCATCTGTAATATTGATATTTTGTTTTTTTTTTTTAATTATAGACCTTACTTCGTCCAAATCAGTCCCCCAGGAATCATCAAAAATATTTTCCCGAGAGAAAATATCCAGATAATCCCGAGCAACCTGATTCTCAATAGGACTAGTAAGACAAAACTGAAATTATGGGAACTCTCGAATTGCTTAGCAAGTTTCTGAGCTTTTCCCGAATTTGTGATCAAAATTTTACCACCTTCTTTAAGCGCTGAAATAGGCTTTTGAGGGTTTTTCAAAAAGTTTGTGAGTTTCCAAAAGGGTTTGGAACTTGGGTCTAATTTACCTAGAAACATTATTTTCAAAAGTTCTGTTCCTTAGGGCAGAGAATCGTTTTTTAATTTGTTTATGTAAGGGCCGCTCGATTACTTTCATGGCAGGATCGCGTGTTCTTTGATATTGTCTCTTACGGACATTTTTAAGACGGATCAAGAGCTTTAGATCGTCGTCTATTATAATTGAATCGAATTTAACCTCGCATTTTGGTACTGAGGCAGCTCTTGCTTCAACTATAGAAGAAGTCAGAGATTTAAGAGCATAATTAAATTCATCTTTGGTTTGCAAAGGAATGATTGGATCAAAGTTATATTCCATATTTTTTTCGATATTGCTCCCAATCAGATCTATGGTAATTGAAAGTAGAGCTGTTGGGATTATAAATTATTTCCTGGGATATTTCAAAAGTTACTGGAAGGTGATCTCCGAAGTCAGTATTGATAACCAATTGGCTAAAAATTTGACATGAATCAGTTAAAATCAAATCAATAGTTGAGGCATTTCTTGCTGAAGAAAAGCATGTTGGGCTGTTTGGATATTGAATAGTGTAATAACCTGCAGAACAATCATCAAATAGAATGTTATTATCGGAATTGCTTTGAGTATTATTCCATGAGCGGTGTTTTGTATTAAAATCACCAATAATGAAGAATTTAGACCTATGACGGGTAAGTTTCTGAAGGTCACCCTTGAGAAAATTCTTTTGCTGGCCTACGCATTGGAATGGTAAATAGGCAGCTATAAATATAAGTTGTCCAAAATTTGATTCGACAGATACTCCCAAAGTTTCAAAAACTTTGGATTCAAATGAAGAAAAATTTTTATGTTTGATTCGTCTATGAACAATGATGGCAACGCCACCACAGGGTCCATCAAGACGATCATTTCTATAAATCAAGTAATTTGCGTCCTTCTTAACCTTATGTTTAGGTTACGTTTTTGTTATAACGGTAATATGCACGTTATGAACTCTCAAGAAGTTAAATAGTTCGTCTTCATTATCTTTAAGAGATCGAGCATTCCAATTTAAAATATTTAATGATTTAAAATCCATTACTGAATTTCAAGGTCATTACGACATTGTTCGCAAATTTTACTCTAGTTTGAATAGCATCAAACATGGAGTTAGATTTAAGCATATCAGTAATCATGTTAATTAATAATTCCTGTAAAAATTCCATTTTAGGAGCAGTAATGCTTCCTAATTGAATTTTTTCAAAATTTCCGTTAGAATTACGTTGGTTAGTTTTTTGTAATAGTAATAGCAGCACAGGTAGCTCCATTAACTCGCTGAACATTGTTAGCAGCGGGGGGAGTAGGTATAGATGAATAATTTGAAGCAGGGGTGATATTTGGACCTACGGGTACGAATGTAGAATTTTTTCTTCGTTGACCGTTGTTAACAGCAGAGTTATTTGTACCTGGTTGGAAAGGAGGAGCATTTCCTATCTGTCGCTTAGAACGAGATTGTAGGATCGCTTTGCGAGTCTTACATTCCCAAAAATTGGATTTGTGGTTTTCACCACAATTTGAACATTTGAATTTCTTAGGATCTTCCTTCACAGGACAGTCGTCCTTTGCGTGAGAGGAATCACCACAATTCATGCATTTAGCTGGCATGTAGCAATTTTTAGTTCCGTGACCCCATCCCTGGCACTTACGGTACTGGGTGAGGTTTAGGAAATTTCCTCCAGTTTTCCTGAAGTGTTCCCACTTCACTCGGACATGAAGCATAAGGCTAGCTTTTTCTAAGGCCTTAAGGTTGTTTAGTTCACTAGACTTGAAGTGAACTAAATAAAAATCATTAAAAATCCCGTTGTGCGAATCGCCAGGACAGGATTTCATTTTCATTTTGATTACTTGGACTGGCTCAACTCCAAGTAATTTTGCCAGTTCATCTTTGACCTGATCCAGGGATTCACCACTGGGCAGTCCTTTCATGACAACCTTGAACACACGTTCAGTTTTGGTGTCGTAAGTAAACAATTGGTGCCGCTTCTCAGTAAGATACTTGAGAAGACATTTAAATCCGTCCAAGGTTTCAGCCAATACACGGCATTCACCCGACGTCCAATTTGTGAAAACTTAACTTTCACGAAGTTCAAAAGTTCCATGCGAAGGGCATGGAAATCGGAAGTGGTTGTCACAATAGGGGGAATCTTTTCCTTCTTGGCATTAAGTCGGGAAAGTTTACTAGAATTTTTCTTGGATGATGGATCATTCTCATCATCCGTGAGCAAATCAAATTGATTACTCAAATTAATTTCATCAGAAGGGGAACAAGATATTGTCCTTTTCTTTTGCGCTCAGGCGCCATGGCGGCAGTAAATTTTTATCCAATTCGACTTCCAAGCAGATTACTATAATAATCTAAAGGATCAAAGAGGAATTTTCCAAATCGATATCCAAGAAGGATTACCTCGGGTAGGGTCAGAACAAGGATCGAAGAGGAATAAGAGTTGAAAAAGGTAGAAAATTTTTACAGGTTGAGCACTGAAGTGCTGTTTAAATTTGTTGTAGCTTTAGGTAGTAGTAACACTTCCTTCAGCAAAAAGC